TACTGGTTGACATTCAACCGAGACTGCCTTGCTCTCAGTTATTGAAGCCCTAATAGTCCAGGTGATATGTATGATATGATATATCATATATAACAACATAAACTGTTGAGGTGAATAGTTAATGGTGAATTCAGTGATGTTGTGATAAGAATTACAATGAAATCTGAGAAGATGCAGAATTAAATATTTCCTGTAAACTTAATTTACAATCACCCTCTGGGGGCAGAGTTGCCTATTATATTAGTGTCCACAAGGGGGAAGCATTTATTTAAGTTGATAGTTCCAAAGTCCCTTTAAGACAAGTCATTTCACTTGGCGGCCATCTTTGAAACGCCTCTCGGGCATGCAAGTGCAGCTCCTATCGCTTTGAATGGGGAAACATCAAATTCTCCAAAACTGTTTGCCAAGCTTATGATTAAATTTCATATTTGAACGCTGACTGTTTCTATAGCAACCGGGACTTGTAACGGCAGCTGCAGTGACGCAATGACTTTACCGAATAGCGATTGGCTCTTTTACTCAGAAGGCGGGGCTTCCTTCAATAGAGCAGCCATATTGAGCGTTGCATTTTCCCCCCTATTCAAAACTATACGAGTGACATGTCTTGTGTTTTCTATAGTCTTTGATATTTCTCAATGCAGCCTTCCTTTCATGATGAACTGTCACTCAACTGTCACCTTGGTAACAGTCAACACTCTGCCTAACTCTATATTTATTCATTTAGCAGACACTTTTATCCAAAGTTACTTACAATTGAGGAATGCAACCTGCAATTCATCATAAAGAGGCAAGAAAACACAGGAAGTGCTCGTAATACAACGTTTTAGACATTGTTTAGATTAGTACAAGCTAGAACAGGGAGAGATTAAGGAAAGTGACAGTGAAAGTTATTTTTTATTAAATTAGGATGCAGTCAAATGTTGATGAAAGAGAGATGAGTTTTTCCAGCTGTCGCTTGAAATTGTCAGGGATTCGGCGTTCCAGATGGGGGTGGGAAGTGATGTTCTGGAAAGTGATTTTGTGCTTCTCTGTGATGGTACCACGAGGCGTCGCTCACTTATAGATCTCAGGCTTTTGGAGGGGATGTAGATTCGTAACAGTGAGTGGAAGTAGGAGGGTGCTGAGCCTGTGGCTGTTCTTTCTTTATGCAATCATCAATATCTTGATCTTGATGTGAGCTGCAACCGGTAGCCAGTGCAGGGAGATAAAGAGAGGTGTGAAGTGTGCCTTTTTGGGCTCTTTGAAGATCAGATGTGCTGCTGCATTCTGAATCATTTGTAGAGGTTTGATTGTACATGATGGAAGTCCAGCCAAAAGAGCATTGTTTTAGTCCAGACTAGAAATGACAAGGGCCTGAACAAGAAGTTGTGTAGCATGCTCTATTAGGAAGGGCTTGATCTTTCTGATGTTGTGCAATGCAAATCTGCACGATCAAGCTGTCTTTGCAATGTGGTCCTTGAAGGTCAGCTGATCATCAAAGATTACACCAAGATTTCTGACTGAACTTGATTGGGTAATTGTTGATTAACCTAGCTGAATGGTGAAATCATGCTGTAGAGTCAGAGAGTCAGGGAAGACAAGAAGCTCAGTCTTTGCCAGGTTGAGCTGTAGGTGATGTTCTTTCATCCATGCTGAGATGTTCGCCAGGCAGCCTGAGATCCATGCAGCTACTGTTGGATCATCTGGTTGAAATGAAAGATAGAGCTGTGTGTCATCAGCATAGCAATGGTAGGAGAATCCATGCACTTGTATGATGGGTCCCAGTGATGTAGTGTATATGGAGAAGAGGAGGGGTTCAAGAACTGATCCCTGAGGAACACCAGTGACCAGTTGATTTGCTTTGGATACCTCCCCTCCCCAGGCCACCCTGAAAGACCTACCTGTGAGATAGGATTCAAACAAATGAAATGCAGTTATTGTGATGCCCAGTGAAGAGAGGGTGTACAGAAGTATCTGATGATTGTGTCAAAGGCAGCAGATAGATCCAGCAGAATGAGAACAGATGATTTGGAATCAGCTTTCGCAATCCACAGGGCTTCAGTGACCGACAGTAACACAGTCTCAGTTGAATGGCTTTATTATATAATAAAAAAACACCCTTGCTACGTGTACTGCATTAAGATGAGATTTGTTATAGCATTTGCATTTCATTGCTCTTTTGTTGATTGTAGGCTTTGGATAAAAGCGTCTGCTAAATGACTAAATGTAAATGTAATCAAAATGAGAAATGTTGCCTTAGCATCTAGCTGAAATATTTTTTTAACATTTGATTTTATTTCAGTTAATGTTTATTTTAAGTAACGAAAATGTTTTTATGGTTTTAGTTTTAGTTAACTTTAATAACTCTGGTTTCTAATAAATTAATTTCTATATATAATTTCATTCAACATTTTGCAAAACTATCTCACATAAGCTAACTGCAAGAATAGCATAAATTAATTATTTTGGATTTAAACCTCGGATTTTGGCAAAAGGCGATAAATTGGCAGTACTGAAATATTTTACCTTAATAGTTGTGTATCTCAATTATAAAAGGTTAAATATTTCTTTACAATTATTATAATTTTTGAGTTGGAAGTTGTATATATTTGAATCTGACAGATGAATGTGTGCATCCTTCTTCAGCAATCCACAAATAGTCTGATCACAAATGTCTCATGATTTTAAAAGAAAAGCAGTTCAACTACAAGCCAAAAAGACCTGTAGGAGGTACAACAGATGTCAATAGTATACTTAGAGAGCAACAAATTTGAACTATAAATGCCCCAAACGTTAGTTGATAAGAGACAATGGGAAAAGCCAAGATAACATACTCTTCAGTATCAGAAGATATCTGTCTGAGAGGACTGTGATTGCTATACAAACAGGACTTTTAGAAAACATTCTTGAATCCCTGAAGGATCATGAGAACGTGAATGTGAGAACAGGCCGTTGTGTTCTGATGTAGCATGGATGTGCAGCTAATGGAAAGAGAAGCTTTTATTGATGGGAACTAGTAAAATGTGGTAAGTTACTGTATAAGCAAAAGCCAGATGTTTGGTGTCTGAGCGCGAGGGATGGGAGGTGTATGGGTATGGGCTCAGGGCAGTTAGGATGGAGGCATGGGCCAGGGCAGAAAGGTTAAGGCCCAAGAGATTTTTCTTTTTCCTACACTCATAAACACATACCCCTTGAGTTCCCACTGAATTTTACATTCCAAACCAGCCAACTCACCACTAAGTTTAGTGTCAGGAAGCCTTGACTCACAGCACTACCCATAAGCATACCAAACACCAGCACAATAAATCTAGCACGTTGCTATTAAAAACATACCTTGAAAATGACCGGGTGATTACTCGGAAGAGAAATCGCAAGGGGCTTTGCGTCTATGGCATCTCCTTTTCCCAAAGTCCAAGTTAAACAAAATGAGGAAGTAGGCACAACTGCCATAACAATGTCTTGGGTGTTTTTGACGGTATTAATGGCAACTACATTTTTTTAAATAAAGGTTTTATTGGCTTCTATGGAACTATGAAGAACCTTTAACATCCATTGCACAAAAGGTTCTTTACTGGCATCTGTGGTTCCCTAAAGAACCTTCAACATTCATGGAACATTTCCATTGCACATAAGATTCTTTATTGGAATTAATAGTTCCATGAAGAACTTTTAACATTCATATAACATTTCCATTGCACCAAAGCTTCTTTATTGACATGGATAGTTCTGTGAAGAATATTAACATTCATAGAACCTTTCTTTTGCATAAATGTTTTTTTATAGAGGAAAAATGTTCTTTAGGTTATTAAAATGTTCTTCACACTAAGAAAAATGGTTCTTTTAAGAACTGTTCACTCTTTGAGGAACCAAAAATGGTTCTTCTATGCCATCGTTGCAAAACCCCTCCTTTTGTAACCTTTATTATTAAGAGTGTAAATCTTCATGTAGCAACCACATTTCCTTCAACCAGCTTGAGATCTTCCATAAGATTGGACTGAGTAGAGTGGGGGAGATCAGAACTTGATAGTGGTCCATGCAGCACCCCCCTACCAAAACATTCCTTTGCCCATGCACCATCCCCAGGCTGGAGTGCTAGACTGGACACTGTCTTCTGGGAATACTGTGAGAATGTGAAGTCTGGTTTATGCACAGCAAGGGAGAACAAATTTGGAAAGGGGGTGTGCAAGAAACGCTCGCATTCTAGAAGCAGCTTTGATGTTTTTATATTTAATAATGCATGGCTATTTAAAGCCAAGGTCTAACTTTAGGCCAACCATGTCACATATGAAACCACACAGAACTTTTTTTTTGTTTTGCATGTGTGTGTGTCTTGAGCGGGTTGAGGCTCTGGGAGAGTGATGACCTGTCACCCCAAAGGGGAGGGAATAAATGGCATTTCCCATTTTACCATGAAAAACAATGTTTGATCAAAGAATGGATATGAGATGTTGTAAGTGGAAATGTTGTGGGTCTTGGCTTGCCATCAGGGGAAATGTGTTCAGGCAAAAAATACAATCTGTCACGTACTTTGGGTTATTTTGGATGCCCCATTAAAGGAATAGTTCACCCAGAAGTGAAAATTCTGTCGTCATTTACTCAACCTCATGACATTCAAAACTCGAATGACATTGTTTCTTTTGGGTGTGGAAAACAAAATACAAATTTCTGAAGAACGCACTTGTCATTTTTTTCCATGCAGTTAAAATTAATGGGGACGGAAGTAGGTTTCAAACTTTAAAAAAAAAGACGCCAAATCATAAAAAGTATAATAAAATTAGTTCTTAAGGATCACTGAAGCAGTAAGTATTAATGAATGAATCAACTTGGAACACACTAGCAATTGAACAGATCTGATTTGTTCACAAACAGCAATGCTAACAATAGGCTAATAATGACTTGAGAAGAATATATGTGACCCTGGACCACAAAACTGTTCTGTTTTGTTTTGTTGTCAATGTATATGTCACCATTATGCGTATCTTTTCATTTATAGTGAATGAATGTTGTATTACTGTTGGCTGTCTTTATGTTAGTTTTATGTTACCTGCCTAGGGACTGCAGATGAAAAGTAGTTATTGTTACTAATTCTGGCATATTTACATGGTGTATATTTATACAACAATGTCCATGAATATGCATGGTCCCTATTAAATAAACCAATAAATAAAAAATAAAAAAACAGTCATAAGTAGCACGGGTATATTTGTAGCAATAGCCAACAAAAACTTTGTATGGGTCAAAATTATCGATTTTTTTTTTAAATGGCAAAAATCATTAGGATATTAAGTAAACATCATGTTCCATGAAGATATTTTGTAAATTTCCTACCGTAGATATATCAAAACTTTAATTATATGCATTGCTAAGAACTTCATTTGTACAACTTTAAAGGCGATTTTCTCAATATTTAGATTTTTTGCACCCTCCGATTCCAGATTTTCTACTTGTTGTATCTCGGCCAAATATTGTCCTATCCTAACAAACCATACATCAATGGAAAGCTTATTTATTTATTATAAAATTATGATTGGTTTTGTGGTCCAGGGTCACATATACAGTGGGGCAAAAAAGTATTTAGTCAGCCACCAATTGTGCAAGATCTCCCACTTAAAAAGATGAGAGAGGCCTGTAATTTTCATCATAGGTATACCTCAACTATGAGAGACAAAATACTCGAATGTATTACTTTTATGACATTCGAGTCCACATTAGTCAGAATTAAATAAAAAAGGCAAGTAAAATTCAGAAAATCATAATGTGAAGTAAATAATGATGAAATTACTTTTTTTTATGATCAGTGCCATAATGAACAATGATCATTAGTCATCATAACCCTTTTATATTAACAGAAATTCGTATTGTCCAGATCAACTTCATTCACACTGGCTAAACCATCAAAATGCAGTCAACTGCATGTATAGGCAATGTATGGCTAAACCAAAAATTTTATTTTTGGTATGTTTTCTTTCACCCTCTTGTGTTTACATGTAGTGTAAAACACTTCTGTACTAAGTCTAGTGCCAGAAGTCATCATTATGATGACTTGTACGAGGTTAGGTCATTCTGCGTGACTTAACCCAGTAATTTCCCTCAGTTACGTGGGATGCCAGTCTAATGACATAGGAATAACACAAACATCAGTGGATGCTCGAGCACGTGCGCGCTTCATCACGGTCTGAAATATTAGCGCGCGCGCCCTTTCCAAACAAACTCTAATTCAGAACCATCGAAACACAGACGACGGAACGTTCACTCGCTGCCTGTAAAAAAACCACATTCCCGCCCAGAATGTGAGTTGAGGAAAGGAGAGTAATTTGGAGTTTAGGATCAGAACTCGCAGGCGAATTATTTTCATTAATAATCTGACGGCACTTATAGTCAAGTCCAAAAACTTGGATATAGTTAAAAAGCAAACCGTTTCAAATTGGGAAAAGTGCTTCAAGGATAAACAATTCCACACGTCTGGTCGTTGAGTAGCCTGTTGGAAGGTTTTCATCTCCTTAAAACTTTTAAAGGTTTATTTCTTAACCAGTAACCCACGATGTAGGTGCATCTCTCGAGATAAATAACTGGTAAGTCTGTTTCATCAACTATAATCTTATAAAGAAAAGCTGTTTTAGTAGGCTATAATTCTAATTCGCACATACAGAACTTTACTGATTTTTTATTTCGTTACTTGTACAAAATGTTACCATGGCAATAATTTTCCGACAAGTCACTGTAAAACCTTTATTTATTTCCTTTCTTTTTTTATACGACATTAGGGACTAATGCCAAGTCACCGAACGACTTAAAACTATGGCATAACTGTTCGCATGTATGTTTTTGTATTTTCGTAAAGTAGTCTGCTTTAATTCAGGCTATATCGTTGCAGTCAGAGTCCGTTGATTAATATAGCCTACTTGTGATAACCTAAAAAAAAAACACCCGATCACACCAAATGTTATACAATAGCCTAAAGCTAGTCTCATTATAATTCAAGTGGAAGTCATAACACTTTATGGTATTGTGCCTGATTTTTCTTGTGTCTGCATGCCATATGTTAACTTCTGTGGTGGTAAAGTTTAAATAAGTTAATCTAAGAAATAAGAACACAGATAATTAGGCTATTGCAAAATAGTCACTGATAATATAATATAGATAGATATATAATTTTTTTTTAATATGACCTAATTCATTGCAGTATTGGCACAAAAACATTAGTGAACATTTCTACACCTTCACAAGCTAAAACCACATCCATGTCTCCTTCAGATTCAAAACTGTTTGTGTGATACAATCCAGCATACCTTTGCTATAAAAACATCTTAACTTAGCCTAAAACTAGCTTGCCAGTCTCCCAAACTGGTCTGCTGGCAGGTTTCATGTTGCTTAGACCATCTTAAACTACCTTAGACAAGATTAAACTAGCTAAAACAAAATCGTACTAACCTAAATGGTTTAAAAACATTTTGCGCAGGCATATTAAACCACATTTCCACTTCTTACTAACTGCTGTCAAGTCAGATAATATTTTCTTTGGTCTGTTTTTGTTTCTATTTGTTATCAGGAATCATAATGTGTGAAGAGGTGGAGTCCTTTCCCAACTTTCTCACTGGAAGGTGCTCATAGACGCCATCTGGCTGTTCAAAAGTGGTCGCGGAGACTGTGTGGAAAATGGATGACGAGCTTGAACCTGGCATGAATGTTATTATAGTTAGCCATTACAACCACTCGGGCAAGTGGGGAAGGCCAAAAAGCACTGGTACATACAAGACATCCTTCCTTATTTGCATCTGTGCTCTGATCGTGTTGGAGAACATCACTGTACTACTGGCACTATGGCGCAACAAGCGTTTCCACAGCCGCATGTACTTTCTCATTGGCAATCTGGCACTTTCGGACTTGTTAGCTGGAGTGGCGTACGTGGTTAACATATTCACCTCTGGCCGCAATACTTTTTTCCTCAGTCCTGGCCAGTGGCTGCTGCGAGAGGGGAGCATGTTTGTGGCACTTAGCGCTTCAACCTTCAGCTTGCTCGCTATTGGGATTGAGCGCCACATGACGATGGTTCGTCTACGGCCGTGTGAGACCGCAGGAAGAGGGAGGTTGCTAGCTCTCCTGGGAGCATGCTGGGCTGTTTCGGTCCTGCTGAGCGCCTTGCCTAGTCTCGGCTGGAACTGTTTGGGCCGAGTCCACACTTGCTCCACTGTCCTACCACTGTACGACAAAAGCTACATAGCCTTCTGCATCAGCGTTTTCACAGCCCTTCTAGCGGCAATCGTGGTGCTATACGTGCGCATCTACCTGCTAGTGACTTCCAGCGGGCGTAGAGTGAGTTCCCGGCCATCGGATCACTCGCTCGCACTTCTGCGCACGGTAGTGATAGTACTGGGAGTTTTTGTGGCCTGTTGGGCTCCCCTTTTTCTGCTATTGCTGCTGGATGTGGGATGCAGTCCAGAGCGGTGCCCGGTTCTCCATAAGGTGGACTGGTTCATTGCTCTGGCCGTGCTCAACTCCGCCCTCAACCCGCTCATCTACACGCTTTCCAGCCGTGAGATGCGGGCCGCCTTCTTCCGCGTGTTATGCTGCTGTTGCTGTCCAACGCAGCTGGACTCTATACCCACAGTGGCAGGGGCTGCACTCCCGGGAACCGTCATTCCCACAGCAGAGAACAGCAAATCAAGCATGGCTGGGGCGGCAAGTGGTGCAGCTAAGTCCTCCCTGATGCGAGGTAAAGTTCCCACCCCGTCAAACTCCCACCATCAGCATGGGGACACGTCGCCACCGGCTGTCACGCACCCCTCGGGGCCAGGTGGCCTACTGTCTGCGGTGCTGGTTAAAGCTGGGGCACTTCCTTCTTTGGGGAAGTTTTGAAAAAGATACTAGTGGAGTCAGCACAAGAGAGCGGGATTTTGTTATTTCCCAAGATGTTTGGCGACGGTTCTTTGCAATTATAGACTGTTCTTCAGCTCTCTGAGGATTACAAAACATGGATTTGCTTTCATACAAAGGCATCCATCCTTTGAGATTTCAAAGAGCAACAAACTCAGTCAAAGTGAGATTGAACAAACGCTGACCAAAGGATACACAAACTGAATCTACTTCTACATGTATTAATATTTATGAAACTGAGCATGTGCTGTGAGCACATAACATAGAGCCACTACAGAATGTAATCACTCGAAAAGCTTAGGTATGCAATCTTTTTTTATCAAAATAATCCAATTTGCATGAAGGAAAACACCTTAACAGTATTATGCATTATTATAGCACTCTGTGTGTATGACTGACCTTTAACATTTTCCCACAGTTTATTACTAGACAAAAAACATTTTGAATAGTTTGCTACCTATTACACAAGATGGCTGTAATTTACTTTAACAAGTTGAGTGTTTTAAAAAAGACTGTGGATGTTTATGGTTAATATTCTGTGGATCGGTTTACATGGCAGAATGTAAGATGAGGTTGTTGCATTGTGAATGTGTTGAAATTTTGATTGTTCTTCTCAATAGTACTTACTAACTGACATAAAACTGCCATACATTTTAAAGTGTGACTATAATATGTTAGTGTGAAGAAAACCAGGCATCTTATTTTGAGGTTGCCTTGTCTGTGCTTTTATTTGCATGTAACCACTAGAGGGAGCTGTGACATATGGAAATCGGCTGCACCACAGAGCAATAGTGAAAGCGCTGCAGCGCACACACATTTTATCTGAATGCAGTCCGAGCACTATTATTTAGTCACTTGGTAGATCCATCATAGTAGCATCGTAATAAATGGGTTTGCCTGTAAAAAAAATCATGATCAGTGGCACAAATCTTTGAGTCATAGTGCAGTAAATACTAACCAGAGCTGTGCATACATGTGCTAGTTTAGATCAGAAAGGTATTATCGGATATTAAGCTCAGTTGACAGCATTGGTTGAATGATTTTCAACATAATTTTGAGCACATCTGGGTTACAATAAGGTATTTAAAATGGGAAAATGAATTGGGCTAATCCATAAACATTAAAAAACTAGGGATTATTATAGTATAACCACAGGACATAAACAAAATGTATGTTATCAGTTTGTGGACATTTTTTTCCCCTGGTAATCAACATTATGCCACAAATGCTGTTCAATGAGCTCTACAACTCTACAACTGGTTAGTCGTACTTGAATCAGTTAGATAAAAGGCAGGAATTGTCCCCCAATTGTAAGTTGCTTTGGATAAAAGCGTCAGCTAAATGACTAAATGTAAATGTAAATGTAAATGAATTGCTTATTCATACTGCTTGCATTGTTTGAACAAAAAAAGAGGTTCAACATGAGTTTTTGTTCACGTTGAGAACATTGCGAGAACAAGTGACATTTTGTTGAAGAATGGTTTTTATAGCATTTGACAAGTGTGACATTTCAAGTAATTTACCATCCTAAGCTGTAGACGCTCTCTCTCCATCATAGTGATCTTTGCAGTCAGGTTGAGGAAAATAAATAGAATGTTAAACAAATCAAACTCATTAACAAGGCCTAAGCGGTTTCCTAGGTAAAATCATGTCTGCTGGCATCCCATAGCTAAGAATTCAAAGACACTCAGTATCACCAAATTCATTTGTCAAGACATTTCACACCAAACGATTGAAGTGCCATGAAGAATCAACATCAACAAACGGCTAAAGCATGATGTGTAATGTGTAACCTTGAGCAAAAACACAGCAACCCACAACGCAATGACAACAAGCTTTATACAAAGTCTTTGAAATAAGCGCACGCCACATAGAGGACATTAATCCTTTAAAGTGAGGTGTTACACACTTGCCACACACAATATGCCTCTACACCTCATGTAATGAATGGCTCTTTGCTCCAATGGATCAAAGCGCAGACCACTGAGCTATTGTGGATGGCCACTGTAGGAAACTTTTTCCTCGTCGAAGCAGAAAACCAGGAGACGTTGGGATATCTTTCATACAGAAGTCACTCTTTATTGAGGACTCGCTGTGCGTCGCTGCAGTCATCCAAGTCTGACTATAGCTCGGCACAGTAGAGTTTATATACATTTTAAGGGGGCGGGATTCATTCAGTGGAGGTGGAGACAATCTAAACAAAGCATGCAAATGCAATACAGGAATCAGCCCGTTACCGGAATTTCTCCAGCCCTGATCTCATCAGCATAACAGTGTCATTCAAATGCATAGGTGCTAATCCAATCAGTCTGACAGTCCTAATACAATCAGCATAACTACTCAAAGACTGGGGCAGAGGCACCAAGAGCCATTACAAACAAAAGGTGACTTTCTCAGTAATTTGGTTCATTTTACTAACAATAAGAGAACAGGAACAGACAGAAACCTCTTGCCACACCTTGCTTAAGACAATCATTTGTCCGATGCAATATACCCTAAACGACTTCACTTTAGTTTTTCATGTGATGCTATGTCAGAACATAGGATCAGCATATTTAAACAGATTCTTCAATTTGTAATCCCACAATTCCCCCTTTGAGAGTTCT